GAAGTGTGATTTCGAATATTTCAAATATAAGCCGCACCCCAGTTTTCCTCTTGAATTTTTGGCAAAAAATGTGCGGCCTATACATGCGTAAATACGATAGTTATCGTTAGGCTCCATCATCTGCAACATAAATTTCGAAAGTCATCGCTTGGATTTTTTAATATCATATTTACATATATTATGAAAGCAGTGTACATATTTATATATAACTATTTTTAACTGTGAGTATCCCCATTTCTTCCCTTGTGCTTGTAACTTGTAACAAAGGACATACTCTGTCTGCTTCATGTAACATTAAACAACGTGTTGCACCCTGGCGATATTCGAATAGATTCCTTTATATGGACTCTTCAGCTTGATTACACTTACGCAGGGAATTCTTAAAGCGTTACATACAAAAAAAAAAAGAACGAAATCTACTTTTAACATTCCAAAGTGAAAAGCTCTTCAGAATTGGACACGGATATTACAACAGAACGGTTGGAATAGGCGGTGTCGGTGACGGTGCTTGTGAACACGAAACGCATTGCATTTCGGGGCAGGAAATTGGGAATATGTTCGCAGCAAGAGCATCACTTGCCGTGGTCACCGAAATGCTAGGGCGTCGCTGGGACAGTATAGCTGCTGCTCTTGGATACAGTGCGCAAGGGCGTTGTGCGGAGTGGGGATACAAGGAGCAGAAGTGGGGACCAGCCTCACTGTATGAAACTACAGGCTTGGCAGCCGGCAAAATTTCAGTTGCGGCTTCTCTTCCCAACTGCTACAAGCGGCAAATCCGCGCGCGGAACTCCGTGTCACGCGTTAAGTGATAACACACAACTGCATATCGCGACAACGTTGCAGCACCTAGAACACGTACACTACTGACGGATTTATAGTCCACAACCCATTACGTGTTTATCACTCCAGTCTCACTCTACCTGCAGTCCAACTGGCAAGTTATAACCGTTCTCTATTGCCGAAACTCTCCAATTATTTGACAGGCCTTTTCATTACCTAATGGAAATAATTCAGCCGTTTATTCACAAAGAAAAGAAGAACAGTGTCACACCGGACGTTTAATATTTTTCAGTACACACCACTTTCTGTTTAAACATATTCAATTTGTGAACTTCTCACGAAAGAACCTTGATTTTGGATTTGACTTTGTAGTGATTTACTTTCTCTTCTAGTGTCCTAACAAGTGGCGGAAGAGTGGGGACGTGTTGCAAGGTTTGTTGAACTTTTCTCTCTCTGGGAGACAAGTTGTAGAACATGGTGTAGGGAGGGATGCGAGAGAGAATAAATTTAATTGTGAATTAGCCTTACAAGAACACGGCGACTATTTGCTGTTCTTGACTAAACTACAGACTTTACTTTCTGCCATTACTGAGAAACTGTAGAGGATCGTACATGGCTTTAACAAATGAATAGGCCTACAGACTATAATAATCCTAATTCAATAACCAAAGTTACCTTCTTATAATGGAATTGCAATATCGACAATATCTTCATAATCGATAATTCTAGAAGTAACTCAAATGACATCCTAACAAGAGCTGGAATTCAAAGTTATGTTCACACTAAAGCAGAGTTTCTAATTGATTATGTGTGATGTATCCTGAGGCCTCATATAGGCCTGTGTAATTGAAGTTTCAATCGCTTTACAATTACATTTTATAAGATGGTTTTGGCGTTGAGTGTATCGCAGTGAACACTGTATCAATATCAAAGGAATAATTTCCTGCATGTAGACACAAGAGATTCGTTTGAACTTTATCTTCTTTCCTTACCGCACCCTCTTGCGGTTTTCTGATCCCAGTTCTACGTTAATCTGCCCCAAAGTGACAAGTACAGTTACCAAAACTTTCTCTGTCTCTGAAAGGAAAAGCAGATCGACTAAATACCTTAGAGTTCAGAACTGACTGAAACATAAGCAGAATAGAAGTGTGTAGTGTTCCATAACGTTCTGTATAACGAGTCAATGTCAAGTAACACTTCAGTGACCTATGTGCGTATACACTGAAACTGAGAATTTCAGATAATATTTTAATTGTACAGTTGACTGTTTTATAGAAAGTAAGAAGAGTGAAGCTTCTGTTCGGAACACTGAAGTAAGTGCATGCATGAATGTGTATTTCAAGTGCGTGAAATATCAAATGTCTTCCAGAAATATCGGTGAAGTACAAGAAACTCCATGGGTTGGCGGGCGCCCAACAATTCTAGTGCGTAGACTGTCACCTGTGTGAGTTGCTACGATAATTTATAAACAAGATACATTACTGGTGTGTCATGTACTGTACCTGGTGTGCCATGGTGCGTATACGACGTGGATTTGTGTGGTGGCCACTTCTCATCACTCTTGGCTACTGTGCGGGGCTGCAAGGTAAAAGAGAATTCTGTTATATCAACATGTGTCAAAATACGGCTAGAATGGGAGCTAATCTTACAGCGATGATACGACAACATTTACTTCATCTTTACGTAGAATCCAATGTACTCGTACAAGCATCTATTAGACCGCAACACCTGTTTAAGAAATTTTGCCTCAGTTCAAGGATACGTACTCTCAAATGCCTGTTATGCTTCAATTCCTTGTTTTTATCTTCTCGTTTCTTATTCAATAACTTCAGAATTAAACATACAGAGAATGGTTATTTTATCAGCTACTTTGTACACGCATGGAGAGTACTATCCGAGCGTAAGAGATGGACACAAATGAGTGTTCTTAAAGCCTGGAGCAAATCATACAATTAGAGCGGTCAGATCATAAATTATGGGATGGGTTGGACAATTAGCATTCAGCTGAGAGATAAGAAATGCATAGTCTACAAAATTATTCGAAAATCCTGAAAGGAAACTTCACATAGGACACACATGCTTGCATGGAGAAGCAATATTAGAACGGACAATAAATACATAGGTTTGAGAGCACGAACTAAATTGACATTACTCAAGGTAGAATCCAGTAGCGAAATATTTTCAACGTCATAATAAAAAGGGTATAAAAATCAGCGAGAGAAGGTGGATGCAGTCTGCAGTTTGCTCACGCTGATTTATCGCTCGTGGATTTCTTATACCCTGAAGATGGAGGAGATACGTCCCTCCGAAACGCCGGTTAAAACAATATCTACACGGCGGCACATTCAAGAAGACGACATTCTTCATAGTCACCGCCGTGAATCAAATCTAGCATAAATTTGGTTCAGCCTTGAAGTTGAGTTGATTGCCAAAGCCATCCACTAAGGACAACTTTCAACTAAATTTACCGAGAAACGATGGCAAATAACTGAATGAAATGAAAAACATGATCATTCCTTCTAGTAGTCAGCCAAGCCGATAGACAGTTATTAATCAACGTTCCAGTCCACTAGGAAGAGACAGAACTATGTACGGAGTAGCCTATGTTATTCTCCACTAGTTAGAAGATATGCTCTTTATGTGTTTCATCCGAGTTCAATTAAACTGAAATATTTAAATTGCTCATACACATCATGAAACAGGAATATTGTAAATACGTGTAGATCCCATATCCACAGTGATACTCTTAAGTTAGGTCTTTGGGACTGCAAATGGTAAAATCACTTACGAAAAGGATATAATTTGGGACAGTCGTAAATTATATATTTTCGTAAATAACACAAAACAGGATCCTCACCATAAAAAAAGTATAAGTAAAGTAAAGCTAACCCTGTACCAGACCATGAAGGCCCAGAGGGTTGTGAGACGTTGAGGTTCCCACATTATCTAGACAATCGGCTCAAAGATGGCCATAAGGTTGTCAGCCTTACGCGCCGGCCGCGCTTTACTCCCCAGGAAAATTATTTAACTAATTCCTGGTACTTATTTCTGTTAGGGTCATAGAGCGGCTGGAAGGATTAGGTCAATTGAAAAAGCCAATGACCTCATCGGGACTTGAACCCGCGACCTTTAGGCTTGTAGCATAGTGCTTCAACCAACTATATATATAATTTGGGATAGTTGTAAATTATATTTTTTCGTAAATAACACAGAATAGGATGCTCACCATAAAGCTTGTAAATTATTTATATCGTATATGCGAATAAGTCTTCCATGAAACATGTCCGTTCACAGTGTATGTAGATGTGTAGTAGTTGATCGCTAGATATATCGCTAATAAATTTCGTAACCAATGTAAACAAAAATATGACATTTTTATGATGTTGATTGACACATGGGACTTAGTATACTGCAAAAAACAGACACTGAATTATTAGTAGTACATAATATTCGGGTATTAAGAACAAGTGGTAAAGCGTCACGTGTTTTCTACAGTATTTACATCTGCGACACGGTATAGCAGTAAATAGTGTGAGGTATAAACTCATTGTGGGCACGCGGTAGTGTAGTTGGTTGAGGCACTATGCTACAAGCCGGAAGGTCGCGGGTTCAAGTCCCGATGAGGTCATTGGATTTCTTTCAATTTACCTAATCCTTCCAGCCGCACTATGGCCCTGGGGTCGACTCAGTCTCTAACAGAAATGAGTACCACAAATATTCTTGGAACGTTTTCGGGGGTAAAGGGCGGCCGGCGCGTAAGGCTAACAACATTACCGCCATCTATGAGCCGATTGTCTACAAAATGTGGGAAACTCAACTCTCACAACCCTATAGGGCTCCACAGCCTGTTACAGGGATACCTTTCCTAAAATTGTTGGTTTCATGTACCTCATGTTTTATAGCGTACAATCCCCTAGCAACCACCAGACAAAGAGAACGGAAGGAAACAGACTGAGAAAAGAAGAAGTCTTACATTGCAGATCATTCATCACATTTCTCAAACATATTCAAATGTCAGATACAGAAAACACACTGCGAACAAAACCAAAATAGAATGGATACCGTATTTGTTCCTATTATATAGAATAAATAAAATATACAGCTGTTAGTATACTGGAAAATTCCAATGCATAAAGCACTTCTTCTGAACTTTGTAATTCTCGCGACCCAGTTAACTTATAGCTACGGGGAAGAACAGATAATCGAGATTGAATTTAATAACATGCTTTTCTCGATTGAGCTGAGTTTAAATAACTTATACCATATCTGTTGATTTCCTGAAGGCACAGTGCAATGTTTTGTGATCTGTTTGCCAGTCGTAACCACAAAGACATCCTTGTGGCCATTACTTTAACTATATCATGCAGTTCTATATTAATGAACAGGAGAATGTCTAAACGGGATATAGACATTATTTGTAAGATTTGAGGCTTTCACGGCGGTAAATATGAAGAAAACAGTCTACTTTTACCGGTTCTCACTGTCTCTTCGCTTGCGGAGTTCTTATATTTTCCTTCTACCCTGAAGATGGAGGTGATACGTTCTTCCGAAACGTCGGTTAACACCACATATACACGGTGCCAAATTCCAGAAGACTTCTTCCTTCATAGACATTATTTGTTCGCTATGTTGAAATATGTACCCATTTAAGAAATTCCAAATTTCCATCTAAAGTATTTTTATATAGCTATGAATTACATTCAACCAAAAGAATTAATATTTTAAGCGTCACTCCTGCATTTTCTTTTTGTTGTTGTTGTTGTTGTTGTTGTTGCTCTTATAAAACTGACACAAAGTAAAGAAAAGTCTGTAAGGATCTCGGACATTTGGTATAGCTCAGTAGGTATGGCGACGGGCTACGGGATAGAACGCCTGGATTCGAACCCAGCATGAGTAAGAAACATTTCTCTATTTCAGACCGGCTCTAGGTACCACCCAACCTCCTCGCGTTAAAGCGGCCTGAAGCATGAAACTGACCACTCATCTCCATCTATTACCGAGGTCAATAATGGTGGAGTTATACCTCCACTACCCCACTTCATGGTCTTTTGCTTCATTTAGAGGAGGGACAACTTCATCATTATGCCATACGGTTTAATTCTAATGAGAGGTCCCTTAAACACTACAGCAAATAACCACGATATACCCCCAAATATTAACGCGACTAGAAAAAAATGCACTGGCCTCTCCAGGTTTTCGTTTTCGCTTCCCGGGCTGAAATTCCCTACCCTTAGTTAATCTTCGTGCTGCACAACACAGATCACTCATACATTTCTGTCAACAAACATACATAAGTTAGATTTGAGGTTTTCACAGTGGTGACTATGAAGAAAGCAGTCTTCTTGGATGTGGTGGCGTCTAGATATTGTGTAAACCGACGTTTTGGAGGAACATATCGACTCCATCTTTAGAGTATAAAAATCTGTGAGGAACAAACGTGAGCAGGCGCTAACAGGTGCTCGCGGATTTTCTTCTTTATTTTTCTACCCTGAAGATGGAGGCAATACGTTCTTCCGGAACGTCGGTTAACACAATATCTACACGGCGATATACCGCAGAAGACTGCTCTCTTCAAACATATAAATACATGCATACAAACGTACCTAAGTTTGGAGATTCCCACAGTAGTGGACTTCTGGACGTTGTCTTGTAGATGGATACCGAAGTTTCGAAATAATATGCTTCCTCTATAATCAGGATTCGAGCATAAGGATGGAGGCAAAATGTTCTTTCGAAACGTCGGGATCTACCTAATGTCTACAACCAAAAGTACTAGAATTTGAAGTGTCATTTAACCTTTCAAACGCGATATATTGCAAAAATACATAGCCCACAAACGTGTTGAATTACAGCCCACAGGAGATTTATTCAGCTACATTAATCGAATTAAATTCTCTGTTCAAGTGGTAAGAATGTTTAAGAAAAGTACACCTACATAACTTGAAAAAGATATTTCATTCCAGCATATTCAAAAGTTAACATTAACTGAAAGTTGAATACGAAATCTTATAATTTGAGACACTTCCTCTTTTTATCCACCGATTTGTCATGTAACTGGTACAGATATATCAAATATATCACGTGAAAAATAATGCTCCCAAGAGGAACTGGCATGAAGGAAGAAGGAAAACAGACAGGTCATTCTTTGCGACCCAAGACGCGGCTTCTGCAAAGGAAGCACTTACTGTGAACATTAGACAGAAAGAAAAAGCAAGCTGCAGGAACTGCAAAAAATTAGACAATTTACTACTGCGTGACATTCTTTCCGAAACTCAAGGGACTGTATCCACAAGATTAAGTCGAAAACTACTGAAATGTCGTCGTAATGCGAAGATTCTCTATGGAACAAATAAACGCTAGGCTTTGCTGAAAGTAGATATTGAATTAAGGGCATCAATTTTATTCAATATCAGGATATGTAGAACTTTAAATGTAGTTGATGAATCATAAAAGCAGTAAAAGTTTAAAGAGAAGCTACATCCTCAGAAGCCTGGATACTTAAAAATGTTATAAATTTTTAAAAAATTTCATGAAACAGAAGTCAGAATGAATGTCGCCTTAAAACCAATATGAACAAATTTTCAT